ATATTTCTGTCTGTGTGTCTCCTCATGTTTCGCCATCTCCTCCATCACAATTTATATGCCATGTGTCCTAGCGCATTGACTAGCTAAGACAGTGGTGTTTGCCACTAGATATTATGTTCCTTAACTGTCTTATAATTTTTCTGTGTCTTCTATCACAAGCAAAGACAGATCACAAAAATATAATAGATGCTCAATAACTATCAGTATGTTATCACAATAAAAGAATATGTATTGTATCCTTTGTTTCTTGGAATGTCCCTCCTGTATCTTCAAAAACCAGACATACTAAATCTCCAGACTAATTCATGTAACATTACTCTATGGCATTCAGAAGTTTGTTATTAATTTCCACAGCACAAATATAGAAAAACTTGGGAACTTTATGAGAAAAACAAAATCTCCCCTCTGCCTTTCATTTCTTTTGGTTCATGTGGCTAATTCAGATGCCCCTTTCACTATAGAATTTAAATCTTTAAAGCTTTACACAGAACTGCTGATTCCTTATCTGTATCCCAAACGATTTGCACATACTTTTAAATAAGAGTGATGATTTATCACGTAAGCCTGGACACAAGTAACTATGAAGCCAGAACAAGAGACGTCCTGGACAAACTAGAAAGTATGATCATACTACTTTGAAAGTCGTTACCTAATAAATGTGTGTGTCTTGTCATTCAACTGTAAAACCATTCTAGAAGTTCTGGGTCTTGTTTCTCTTAGTTTCCTTTGTTGCCTTGAACTGTGCCTGATACATTGTGGTGGTAGAAATGTTAGTGCCCCTTAAAAATGTTCATTTAATTGAATGTTATACATCTAGATGTAAAATCCAAATCATTCCCTTGGAGCATTGATGAGCCATTTTCTTAGTATTATTACAAATGGAAGGCAATGAGCCTAAATTAATTATATGCTATATAATGAGAAAAGCTAGCATTTACCGGCATCTAGCCAATGCCAGACTCAGGGCTTAAAACTTTGAGTCCTATCACTGATCTCTCACATTAATCCTGGGAGGCAGGGACTACTATTGGCCCCCTTACATGAGAGGAGAAAAGACATGTTTAGGAAACAGCATTTCTCAGTTATCTGGGTAATTTTGTAATAAAGTTTGGATTTGAACTCCAGACTCTGACTCCATATACTTCCTCTTCTAAATGAAAGAAATGGCTGGCATCTAGCTTTAGACAGTTTAAAAAATTTTAAGATACTTTTAGGAATAATCCATTTGTTTTAAGAGTTTTAAAATTTATTTAAATATTTATTTACTTATTTGAAAGTCAGAGTTACACAGAAATAGAGGGAGAGACAGAGAGAAGGATTTCATCTAAAAGGCTCACTTCCTAGATGGCCGCAATGGCCAAGGCTAAGCCAGGCTGAAGCCTGGCTTCTAGGTCTGTTATGTGGGTGGTAGGGCCCAGACACTTGAACCATTCTCCCCTGCATTTCTCAGGCCATTTGGAAGGGGCTTGGTTCCAAGTGGAGTAGCTGGGACATGAACTGGTGCCCATATGGGATGCTAGCATTGCTCGTGGTGCCTTTACTTGCTGCACCACAAAGCTGGCCCCAAAGACATATTTTTATTTATTTGAAAGTCAGAGCTACACAGGGCCGATGCTATGGCACAGAGTGTTGAGCTGCTATTTGCAGTGCCGGCATCCTACATGGGCACTGGTTAGTCCTGGTTGTTCTACTTCCGATCCAACTCCCTGCTAATAGCTTGAGAAAGCAGGGCTGGCGCCGCGGCTCACTAGGCTAATCCTCCGCCTTGCGGCGCCGGCACCCTGGGTTCTAGTCCTGGTCAGGGTGCCAGATTCTGTCCCGGTTGCCCCTCTTCCAGGCCAGCTCTCTGCTGTGGCCAGGGAGTACAGAGGAGGATGGCCCAGGTGCTTGGGCCCTGCACCCCATGGGAGACCAGGATAAGTACCTGGCTTCTGCCTTTGGATAGGTGTGGTGCGCCGGCCACAGCGGCCATTGGAGGGTGAACCAACAGCAAAAGGAAGACCTTTCTCTGTGTCTCTCTGTCTCTCTCACTGTCCACTCTGCCTGTCAAAAAAAAAAAAAAAAAAAGCTTGGGAAAGCAGCAAAAGATCACCCAAGTGCTTGGGCCCCTGCCCCCATGTGGGAGTCACACATGAAACTCCTGGCTCCTGGTTTTGGCCTGGCCCAGTTCCAGACCTTGCCTTTGTGGCCATCTGGGGAGTTAATCAGATCTGTCTCTTCTCTCTTTCTGTAACTAACTCTCTCTCTCTCTCTCTTTTAAAGGTTTATTTATCTGAAAGAGTTACAGAGAGGCAGAGGCAGAAAGAGAGGTCTTCCATCCACTTCCATCCCAAATGGCCGAAACGGCTGGAGCTGGGTTGATCCAAAGCCAGGAGCTAGCTTCTACTTGCTTTCCCAGGCCATTGCAGAGAGCTGGATCAGAAGTGGAGCAGCCAGGACTCGAACCAGTGCCCTTATGAAATTCCGGCTCTACAGGCAGTGGCTTTACCCACTATGCCACAGCACTGGCCCCAAGTAAGACTTAAAAAAAAAAAAAGAGAAGATAGAGAGGTAGAGACAGAGAAAGATTTTGCATCTGCTGGTTCATGGCCAGGGCTGAGCCAGGTGGAAGCCAGGAGTTTCATCTAGGTCTCCCACATGGATGCACAGGCCCAAGCACTTGGGTCGTCCTCTGCTACGTTTTACAGGACATTAGCCGGAAGCTGGATCAGAAGTGGAGCGGCTGGGACACGATCTGGCAGCCCTACGCGATGCTGACTTTGCAGGCATGCCATAATCCTGGACTGTTTTAAGATTTTTAAAGGGAAATTTATGTAACAAGGCCTAAGATTGTAGAATTAGGCCACTATGGCAGCTCTATGGGTTCCTAAGTAATCATTAGCAGTTGCTTAGGCCAATGTGTTCCTTCCTGTTGTCCTTGATGTTAATGTTTCCAGTTATGGATTAGTAACTGGGCAACACGGTTTCTTTAGGACTATCAAAAGTTGCATTTTCTTTTATCAGCTTTTTAAGTGTACATTATGTGACTACATTGTGAAGTGACAATTTTGTAATCTTGTCCTTCTTTTGGAACATTTTACTTGCTAAAAATTTTTTTAATTTATTTATTTGAGAGGCAGAGTTAAAACAGAGAGAGTGAGGTCTTCCATCCCCTGGCTCACTCTCCAAATGGCTGCAAGCACTGGAGCTGGGCGGATCTGAGGCCAAGAGCCAAGAGCTTCTTCTGGTTCTCCCACAATGGGTACAAGGTCCCAAGCACTTGGGCCTTCTTGCACTGCTTTCCCAGGCCATAGCAGAGAGCTGGATTGGAAGAAGAGCAGCTGGGACTCAAACTGGCGCCCATATGGGATGTACGCACCCCAGGCGGAAGCTTTGTCTACTAGGCCACAGCGCCAGCCCCACTTGGTAACAATTTTAAAGACAGTGCAGACACATCATATTGACTAGAGAAAAGCTGACAGTGAGGGGAGTTCCATTCCTTGAGCTGTAGTCTTCAGGAACATTTAACGGACAAGTGGCTGGAGATGAAGTCTGAGAACTCATGGGAAAGGCGAATTCAGGGACTCTGGAGGCCACTGGAAAGACAGCGTTTACAATGGATGGAATATGGAGCTTTTGGTGGACTTGGATCAGATGGGGCTCGAGCTGATTTGCCTTTTAAAAGGACATTCTGGCTGTTGTGATAATAAACTGAGCTGAAGGTGAGCAGAGAGACCATTTAGTAGCTGAGTGACTGAGGCCGGAGATGTTCGAAGTAATGTGGGTGGCAGGAAGTAGTGTGATTTTTTTTTTTTTTAAGATTTTTAAAATTTGAAAGGTAAAGAGGGAGAGAGGGGAGGGGAGAGAAATAGAGAGAGACATTCTTCCACCTACTGGTTCACTCCCCAAATGGCCGGAAGGACCTAGGTGAAGCCAGGAGCCAGTAACTCCTTCCAGGTGTCCCACGTGGGTGCTGGGCCCGAGCACGTGGGCTATCCTCTGCTACTTTCCCTGGTGCATTAGCAGGGTGGGAAGCAGAGCAGCAGGGACTAGAACTGGTGCCTACATGGGATGCTGGCGTCCCAGGCTGGGCTTTGTTTGCTGTGCCACAATGCCAGCACACACAGAAAATGAGAGGGAGCGCTCCAATCGCTTGTTCATTCCTAAAAGCCACTCAGGAGCAGGCAATGCAATCCAGTTCCCTGAGCCATCACCCTTGCACCCAGGAAGCAGGAGTCAGGGAGGAATGCAAGCGCAGGCCCTCCTCTGAAACGGGATGTGAGTATATTCACCACTAGGCTAAACTCCCCCTTCCTGATTTATCTAGAATGTACAACCAGCAGGCCTTCTTCGAGGATGGCATGGTGTTCTGGCCTAACTGGAAACACGCCCAGTCATCACCTGCGATGCATCACCGCATCAAGCTCAAAGCAGCGCGGCCCCAGGCTTGCTTCAGGGGTGTTAGGCTCTCCCCCCTTTCCCACGTCACGTGCTTAACACACAGCCAGAGGCACGGAGGCCCAGCACACCTTTTGAATGCCAGGTGGATGCTCTCCGCCTCCAGCAAGTCCCTGATTCCAGATGCTGCCGCCTTCCACGTTCATGAAACGAACGGCGGCCCAAGGGCTTCGGGAGATCCACCTCTCCTCGGCCCCCAGACCCAGCGCGCGTCCTGCGACGACCCTCCCTCGCCGGGCCGCGGGAGCGAGTCCCCCCGACTAAGGTGGGAAGAGGCTCCCGCGCACCCAGCCTTGGTCGCCATCTTCCAGCGCCGCGGCCTCACCCGCGACGGCCGCAGCCCCAGCCCCCGAACCTCCGGTCGCCCCCGACGCGGCTTCCTAGCCCACGCTGGGCGAGCCGCCGAGGGGTCCCGCAGCTCAACCGCCGACCCATCCCGGAGGCGGCGACGTGCGGGACGGGGGCGGGGCCTGGCCTGGCCGTGGGCGGGGCCGGCGTCGCGGCTGCCGCAGCTGCGCGGCGACGCCCCGCCCTCCCGCCGCTGTGGGAGCGCGCGCCGCCTCCAGCTCCGCCCGCCCGCGCGCGAGGCTGGGCGGGGAGGGCGGGGCCAGGAAGCGGCGAGCGCGCTGGGGAGCGCAGCTGCGGGCGTGGGGGTGGCAGGAGCCGCGGAGCCGGCACCGAGAGCGGCTGCGGCCGGAGCGGGCGGCCGAGACAAAGGCAGCGGTGAGTCCCGCGCCGGCCCTCGCGCCTTTCCTTCGCGGCTCTTTAGGCGGGGTCCTGAAGCCCCGAACCAGCGCCCCGAGGGCTCCGGGGCGAGCGCGGCCCGGCCCTGGCCGCCGCGCGCTGCGGGTTGTGGGCTGAGCCTGCGGCTCCATTTTCAGGTCTGGGCGAGGTCCTCAGCCCGGGGTCCCTGCCTTTTTGGCTGTTCTGCCTCTCGCTCTGAGGAGACGGTGACGGCTCAGTTCGAAATTCCCAGCAGGCGGCGACTGAGGCAGCCAAGCCCTCCCGCCAGCTGGCTGCGAAACGGCGGGGCAGACCCCTCCCCGGATTCTGCGGGTCGCGTCGGGAGGGTGCGGCGAGGGGCAGGCCGAGGGGGCCCGCGTCCTCCAGGTGAGCGGCGCGGCGCGGCGCGGGGACCCCCGGCCCGCGATCGCTGAGGCGCCCCGGGCGGAACGCACCCCGGCAGCCGCCTCGGAGGAGCCCGGCCACTCGTACAGGTTGTCCTGGCCGGCGCCTGCCGCCTGGGGTGTGATTTTGGGTGCCGGGTGTGGTAGGTGGCGGCTCGCGGATGCGGCAGGCGGTAGGCGACGGCGGCCGCGGGCGGCTGACTCCGCGTGTCCGGTCCTCAGCCGCAGTTGCTCCAGAGGATCGGCTCTGTGTGCGGGAATTCGGCGGTGGCTGCCGCTGGACACAACTGAAACGTGTTGTTAAAGGGCCTGGCACGGGGTAGGTGCTTGGTACAGTGTCGGGGAAGCGAATGAATGAATCCTGAAACATCAAAGCTCGTCTCCCATCTGGTAATACTCAGACTTCAGGAAGAAAGGTTGGGAAACAACACTTAGTTTTGTTTATATTCTTGGTTTTGGTTTTTGCCCAACACATAAGTGTTGATGAATAATCAGTTGTCATCAGGATTACAAACAAAATACGTTTGCAATGTGGAATTTCGCATTTTGAGAAAAGTTGTTACGCATTTTCTGTCTCTTAAAAAAATCTGTGTATTTAATTTCTTTTGAAAATAACCGAGAAGATAAAGAGATGCGAGGGTGGTATTTTGAGAATCAGCTATTTCACTATGAGTAAAGAAGTTGAAGTGCTGATGAGGGATTGTGGTAAGGTCGTGTGCGTCTGTCTTCTTGAGTAAGGGAGGACTTGGGAAAAAGCCGGTGTCCTAATGTGATTAAATGTAACCGTGTGCTGGGCACATAGTCTTTAAGCAACTACCGGGAGGTGAGACCTGTGTTGCATGCTGAGTTGCTGGGGTGAACAAAACCCGTGACTACCCTCCTACACTTGAGCGTGGATGTCTGTCCTTTTTCTGGAGCTTGCAAGTGGGGACTGACTTCTTACACCGCGGGTGCCTGCTTGAGTCCGGGAAGATGGCGGGGGAACTGCAGGAAGTGTAAATTCATAACAGTCTTTTTAAAGGTTAATAAGTAACTTTTTAAGGCTAAAATTATTTGGTTACACTTTCATAATGTCAGCTTAATAAAATCTACATTTTAAGATGAAGGGAGGAAGAGGTTTAACAAAGCAGTATTTTTATTCTGAAAATTTCCTATTAGGAGGTGTTGGTGCAGTGTATTTGTTGAAGGGTAATGCACTTGTAGTTCTGTTTTCTGTAAATAATCTTTGGAATAACAGCATTTTCCATTTTTAAAAATCCCAAAAGATGAAGTGGATTCATTTACTATATAAAGTGCTTTAAATAAAGCACCTCTTCAGGGATTTTCTTTTGGCCTTTTGATTGACAAATATGGTGTTGACTTGATAGAGCTGAAAAGGGAAGGGTTATAGTAACTTGTGGTTCCATAGTTGGACTTTCCCTCTAGTATTAAAAGTGTAAGGGGAAAAAAAGCCTTATTAGAAAGAGGGGAAGATTTGTATTGAATGTATTCTGAACATAAGATTGGTTTGTCTATGCATATTTACATATGTTTAGAAAACAATACAGGTGTGTACCAAGTAAGGCCCTTATGATTGACAGTAAACTACATGTCCCCTGAGAGGCCTAGGTTTCTGTAATTATTCTCTATGATGTTCCCACAAAACCACCTGAGGATGTATTTCTCAGAATGTATCTCCATTTTTAAATGATGTGACTGTGTTTATTCATTTTGTTTGGCCCCTTCAGAGTCTAAATTAATGCACTCCAAAGTCAGCCGTAATCATTACAGAATAATGTAGGCAACTAATTGTTTTACATTTAGCTTTTGAATATATGTGCCCTTTTGCCTTATCAATACTTACACTTTGTACATTGTTCTAGGTAATTAGTTTGTTCAGAAAGAACTTTTACATTTTAGATGTACTGGCTGTTAGCTTTATATGGCTGTTTCTAGGAATAATGAGCAAAGTCATCTCTTAGATTTTAGTGGTAGAGAGTCATAATAGTTTACTTTGAACACTGTAGTGTAGGAAGAGTTACCTGAAACACAGCGCTGGGTCTGGTATTGCTGAGAAACATAGCAGTAAATGAGCAAACTGTGTTGTTAACAAGTGCTTGGCGTGGTGGGTGGGTGGGAGTCGCGTAACCACTTGGGAATTCTTGATAGTCAGCAACATTGAGACATGTCAGTGATTTTTTTCAAGACATTATTCAGAATGGTAATTTTTGTTCTTTTTTTTTTTTTAATTTTTGTTCTTTTAAAAAGTCTGTTTTCAAAGTGTTATTCCCACCTTGAGTAGTTCATATTTTTTAAGGCTAAATAAATGGATTATCCCATTTTATAAATGTGGGAGTACTTGAAATGTTGGTGGCTCTTTTTGGAGTATGTGAGTGTAGGGATCATTCATTTGTTGACAGGGCCCTTTAGAATGATTTAGAGTAGTTTCTTGTGTCAGATATGATTAATAAAGTGATTAAGAACAATGCTGATGTGACATGTTGCAGCTGTGCCCTGATTCATCTGTATAGGTTGTGAGAGTTTCTCAATTAGTGTTTGTATTAAACGTTTTCAAAAGTGCTTTATAAAAAACTGATTTCTTAGATTGTCTAGGATAGATTGTTATTTTTTGGATTGTCTTTTAAAATCATGGAAGTGTTTGGATTTCTATTTTAGGATTTTGAGATATTAAGGTTTTATAAGATTTTTCTCACAGTTGAAAATGCATATTGGTTTTGATCTGTTGCAGTGTTAATTTCAGTTTTTGAGAAAAGTATTTTGCGCTTTACTGAATGTTAAATGTTAGTAGTGATTTAGATTGCAGGGGGAAATTTTAGGTTGTCTGTGCTTACCAACTAGTTAGATAAGGATATTTAACATTTTCTTCCATGCTATCTGGAAAAACTTGGAATTTGGCTCATTAATTATTAACTTTATACATCCTGGTGCCTCAGCAAAGCTTAAGTGTAATAGACCTTTCTGTAATTATAACAAATAATGAACATTAGCAGGATTTTGCTGAATCTGCTCTGAGATCCCCATCTTAAAAAGAGCTTCTCAAATGCCAAAAAAGACTTGCTAGTAACTTAATTTTATCCTGACTTTATAAAATAACTGTAAATGTATGTTAGTCAAAATTGATTATAGTAAAACAAACTCCTGTGGTGGGTGTTTGCTTTAGCTGTTAAGACAACTGCTTCTTAGATTGGAGTGCCTCAACTTGATGCCTGCCTTTAGCTTCTGCCTCCAGCTTCCTGCTAATGCAGACCCTGGACGTTGGCAGTGAAGGCTCCAGCAATTGGGTTCCTGCCATCCACGTAGGAGACCTGGATTGAATTCTGTTCTGGCTTACACCTGGGGTTCAGGTTCAGTGATGTCTGTACAATTGTAGGCATTTGGCAGATGAATCAGTGGATGAGAACTCTCTGTCCTTTTGCCTTTCAAATAAATTCATTAAAAAAATCAAAATTAGGGGCTGGCGCTGTGGCGCATCAGGTTAACGCCCTGGCCTGAAGTATCAGCATCCCATTTGAGCGCCAGTTCCAGACCTGGCTGCTCCACTTCCAATCCAGCTCTCTGCTATGGCCTGGGAAAGCAGAAGATGGCCCAAGTCCGTGGGCATCTGCACCCACGTGGGAGACCCGGAGGAAGCTCCTGGCTCCTGAATTCAGCGTAGCACCAGCTGTTGTGGCTAATTAGGGAGTGAACCATTTGATGGAGTACCTCTCTCTCTCTCTCTCTGTCTCTCTCTCTCTCTCTCTCTGCCTCTCCTCTCTCTCTCTGTGTGACTCTATCAAATAAATCTTTTAAAAATCAAAATTAAAAGACAAATACACTTCTTTTGCCTAGAAAGCATTAGATAAGTCCGCATGAAATCTAGATGCCTTTGCAAATGGTAAGTCCTGATATTTCCATTTTGTTGCTAACCCACTTAGGAATTTGTTCTAAGATTTCCTAGAAAATCTTTACTATCAGATTTTTTAAAATCATCTTATACTAAAACATACATTTTTTAATTTGAATTAATAAAGTCCTCACTTTTTGCTTAAGTAAAATGAATTTTTACTACATTATTGTGTGTATTTTGTTTTTTTATTTTTTTATTTTTACTTTTTTATAGAAAGCTTTAATAAACATAAAATTCCTAAGTACAACTTTTGGATTATAGCGGTTCTTTCCCCCATAACCTTCCTCCCACCCCAACCCATCCCACCTCCCTCTCCCTCTCCAATTCCATTCTTCATTAATATTCATTTTAATTATCTTTATATACAGAAGATCAACTATATACAAAGTAAAGATTTCAACAGTTTGCACCCACACAGACACACAAAGTATAAAGTACTGTTTGAAGACTAGCTTTGCCATTAATTCTCATAATACAACACATTAAGAACAGAGATCCTACATGGGGAGCAAGTGCACAGTGACTCCTGTTGTTGATTTAACAATTGACACTCTTATTTATGACGTCAATGATCACCCGAGGCTCTTGTCATGAGCTGCCAGGGCTAAGGAAGCTCTTGAGTCCTATTGTGTATATTCTGTGTTGTGTAGATCATGGGAAATTATGGATATCTGTGGAACTGGGGCTTGATAGGTGATAGGTTTTAAGTG